CATCATAACATGGGATTTGTAACCTTCAGCAATACAGAGAATGCTACTGATTTTCAAATTACAAGTAAAACCCAGAAAGAATAAACTACAATACTTCCAATTATCCTCAACAACCGCTAGACAGGTTCCTTCTAAGTGAACTTTACACCCACAGGCTTAATGCTGTATTTATCAGGTCTTAATCCGACAGTATAGCTTGTGTCCTCAGTGGGGCAAAAAAAATGAAATCAGAGCTCCTCAAGAATTCCTTCATCATCTTCAGTCCTTAAGATTAAGTGACAAATTCTAAAGCTCTCAACTACTTCCCAGAAAAAGTAACTCCTCCTCCTCCGCTTGTAAAATACAACAAGGCAGTGACAAAGATGACTTCTGATGGAATCCAAAGTTCATCCAGGAGTTTCTAACACCCACCTGTTATACTTGTGAATTATTAATTAACATTTTGGTTGTCTTTCTAGTACAATTACATGGAAGATAAATAACATTTTCTTTTCAAAATGTTTAACAACAACAACAAAAAAAGTTCTGTAGTACATAGGTATTAAAACAACTTCTGATCTTCTGTCAAAAGTTACCTGCTCTTCCCTTTTAGACTTATCTACCCCCTCTTAATTGAAGATTGAAGTCAGACAACCTGAAGGAGTTATGAAACGCAATTTAGATGTGACATGATTTTGCCTAGAAGCTATTCAGAATCTCTTGTTCATTCCAAGAAGCTCTGAAGATGTTTCCAAAACAAATGCATATCAGTGACTATATACAGCTGCAGCTACTGAATTGCACAGAGAGATTAAAAGCATCCTCCTTTCTGTCTAGACAAGCATTTTGTAAACTTTATGTCTATATACAGGCTACAGCTGAAAGTAACATCTTATAAAGTGATGGTAAGAGCTAAAACTTGGGAATGGCTACACATAGAACTTCTACTTGAAGTAGGTGGAGTTATACCTAACCCTCTAATTCTTCAGAGGTGTATTTAAATAGCTTACAGTTAGAATAAATTCAGCTGTAAAGAACCTAGAAGGAGTTTCAGGTGATAGCCATATTGAATTCCATCTAACACTTTTCTCTTCTAAGCATGGATTGGGTATTGAGGGTGGAGAAGGAGGGGAAGAAAGAGGGTAGCATACAGTGCTCGAGTGAGGAGCCAAACGAACAGATCAATTTTCTGTCTTTCCTTGAGCACCAACTTTAGAAATTTTGCCTTGCTACAGAGCCTCAAGGGTTTCCCCACAAAAGCAGGACTTCCCAAGCATCTTAAATTGTTCCACTGCCTTTTACCTCAGCTGAACAGAGTCTGAAGAACATCCACACCACCATCTAAGAATCATCAGCCTAGTTCCTCTGATTACACCTGTTCTTTGCAGCTCTGCTGTTTAGGACAAATACCTATAAAGACACCTATAGTCTTCTTACATAGACAAATGTTCCCTGTAGAATGCAAAATTTTAAATATTTTTTATGTGTTGCTGGCGTGATAAGCAGGGCTGGAGGGGGTGCATGATCTAAGCCAAATCATAGTATTTGAATATTCATAGCCACATTAAGTTACATATATAGTAATCAAAGTAAGTTCCATTTGTTTTTTGGTGATGTTAACTATGCTGATGCCAAACTGCTAGAATGCTTACCTTTCGCATAGAAGGAAAAAAAATAGAAAAATAAGTCTGCCCTTCCAGCTCCCTGTACCTACACAGGATCAAATACACATACACTGTAATCCGCAGAGCTCTTCCTGACATTCTTAGAAATAGATTCCAGTTTCTTTATCACACTGACATTTAGAATTTTTTCCAACTACCCAAACAATCTCATCTGCTATAAATTGAACTAATTCTTTCTCATCAGCCAAAAAGTACAATCCCTTTAATAATCTTATATGTACTGTAGGCGACTCATACTTCCTCTCTTCCACTGCTGTTTTCTAAATCAAGTAACACCTGTCATACACTGAACTTTCTAACCGCCTTCTCCTCTTGCCATTCTCCTACACACCTCTACATTAGTAAGTTTTGTGTCCAAAACTGGACACTTTACACAGCAAAGGCATCATGGGGCTCTAAGCAACCTGATCTAGCTGATTGCACATTGCAGGAAGGTAGGACTAGATGACGTTTAAAGGTCCCTTCCAACCCAAACCATTCTGTGATCAGTTGCAATGAATACAGAACAGCAGTTAACTGTCAAACCACCTTTTCAGTTGAACATCGAATCAACTTTTTGTTCAAAGTCGACTTTTCTGTAATTAACTACAAAATGAGATTTAATTGTAAAGTTGTTGCATGCTTCCTTCTCCCACAGGCAGTCAGGCAGTAACTCCTCACTTCTGTTTATTTGATATGCTTGGTTTTTTTATTAAAGCAGCATTTCTATTTTCATCAACAAAGTAAAGCACATACAAATAAAAAGAGAGGATCAAACTCCTGACTTGAGGAGCAGAGTTTTTATTACTAATGTTGAGAGAACTGAAAGTAGCTCATGTTTACAGAGTCCAGACTGCTCTAACTGAGAAATCAATTGGGGAATAAAGACTAACATGACAATTAGGCACACTTGATATAAATCAGACACTAATAAGAAAAAACTTACAATGCTGTCTTTATAGAGTTTCATTTCAATGTAAAGACACACATTCAGCCTTCCAGAGAAAGCCTTCGGCAATAACAAAAGAGAAGTTGTGATGGAGCTAAGAGTTGAAAACAGCAAGGGAGATGCCAATGTAGCTTAGAAAACTGTGTGAAGTAGCCAAGCCTCACAAAAAATGGGCAGCATTCAAAATGCATTTTACATGACGTATCAAATGATCCTAATCTAAAACCACTAAACTTTTTTTTTAATATACTATCCTCTTGGTGTATTATACTCTATTTCTACCTCTGCTGCTAACCCATCATCTGCTAGTAATGTGAGCACCTATTAAAAGTATACACTATTACCTATTTATATGCTAATGAACCTAAAATCTCTTGTACTCTTTTTGTTAAACTATTTTATGTCATACATTACAAATGCACCGCAAACCTTCAGAGTGACAGAGCCACTTGCAGAGAAAGCACCTAAATTTTTAATTTGACTCTGATGCTGGTATCTGATATTAGGTTACATAGAAAAGAGGCGGTTTGTCTACAGTCAAAGTGAATGAGCACCAAAGAAATACTAAACCATAAATGTTAAAACTGGTAAGAGGATGAATAAAATGTTATTTTGCTATTTCAGGTATCATTATAGGTGAAAATCTTAGCCAAATACTTTAAAGATTTTAATTAAACTTTATTCTTATTTCAAAAAAAGGTTAAAACATCTCTTTGGCTGGCACTCTTATGCTTCCACCCAATGCTGTCCTTTGCATTTCTCTTTGCATAATAAAGAATTCAGATGCCATGGGACCTTAGAATCACCTACAAAAGGCTGGACTGAACAATAGCCTTAGATTGTTTTTTCATTTTGGAGATCCACTCACACAATTACACATTTTGCAAGAACTCTTAAGAGGTGCTCAGTCATGAAACCACAAGAATATAAATTTGGAAAGAAAAAACAAAGTCTATACGTTAATCATCAGGCAGGAAAAAGCAGACTTTCCTTGCGCTATAATCTGTCATACAATAGAAGTGTCATGAACAGTCCTTGAGACCTAACCGATGCTTTGAGACATTATTCAATCTTTCAAAGTGATACAAATTACTACATTGCAGTCACATTTCTGATGCCATAAGCAACAGAAATCCGTTTTGTTTATTTTGCAGATTACAATAATTTATTACAATCTTCTTCATGTAAGTTAGGGTCAGGGAAGGAAACTAGAAGTTTTCATCACTCTTGGTAAACAGCAAGGAAAACAAGCATTCAACAACAAAGGCAATTAACCCTTTTTGAAAGTAAATGGCAAATCTTGGTTGAAAATTAAGATCTTTGAAATCACCTTGACTTCAACATTTAGGTAATAATTATTCAAAATTTACCTACTGCATTCATTCTGTGGCTCTCAAGCAACAACTATACCGGTCCCCTGTACCTCTTATTTCAGAAGTATAAATTATCAAATACTACATACATTATGTCAAAATTTCTCAAGAATGCATCTATATATATGCATATGTCATTTACCTGTAGCAACATGACAAAAAAAATTCTGCATCTACTTCATTACTAAAAGCCCCCAGTAATTGAAATAAGATGTCAAATATACCTTACTTTCCACTACTCCAATACTGAAAAGTGTGCTCTGCCAGTGGAAAGGTTCATCACGTGAGGACCCACTGTGGAATGCACTATTATACATGTTAAAAAGATGTGAATTTTTCCCCTCTCTCCCTTCTCTCATAACACGTGGTACACCTGTGCACACTAACACAAACATTTTCAGCTAGTACTGAAGTTAACTGAAGAGAAAAAAAGAAAAACAAACACAAAAAGGTTCGATATAATTTCAAGTCTGGCTCAGAGCTCATGAGGTTGAATTTTATTTTAGAGGAAAATACAACACAGATGAAGACTGCTAGTCTTGCCATGAGGTAAAAATTAAATCATTTGCTCATACACTTGAATTTAAGCAGCTAGTGGAAGAAGAAATAAGTATCAGGTGTATGAAATCACATACAAAGAAAAAAGATTCTACATGTTAAGAAAACTGACAATAATATAATTATCCAGCAATCGCCTAATTATTAGTGCAGTTCCTCCTTAAACACGGAGGGGCGACATCGTGCATACAACTCCTCCATAGATATACCAGCATGCACAATCTTACCTCTGATGACTGCTCTTGTACCTCTTACTGTATGTGCTCACTGGATTTTAGTTCATGGACAGAAGCAGGTAAAAATCAATGTGCTTTAATAATATTTGTCTGTAGTAAAGACTAACAACTTGGCAAGCATATTACCACTAAAACACTAAGTGTACTTCATCATACTACTACTTTAAATAATTACAAAACTACTCACAAGGATATCATGAAGAAGCTTTTCTTTGCTTAGCAATAAGAGCCAGATACTCACAAAGAAGGGTCTTGGACCAGATCTTTAAGGTTTATCCCACTACGATCCTCGGCAAGGTTCCTGAAGCAACTGTCACTCACTAAAAAAAATAGAAATAAAATTAAAACAAAACAAAACAAAAACAGAGAAACAAAAGAGGTGGAAATTTAAGGACAGAATGCAGTTCTCTTGATTAACTAGAAATGCTTTTCAGTGTTGGCAGTAATTTGAATGCTCATATATAAAGTCTCATTTTCAGTAAGGTTTCACCTAATTTCAAAATAAGTCAACTCAACAGAAAGTGATAAACAGTGTATCACATATTACACAGAAACAATCAGTTTCAGCTGATGTCCTTACTGCTTCTCTACCTGTGGCTACAGAAAGCCTCAAGCACAAACACTGGATGCACAAGTACACACAGATATCCATACACTTATCAGCAGAGTTCTTAATCATGCACAGGTCAGTATTCTTTACCTAATCAGAAACAGTGGATTGTTATGTATTTAAGTTCACAGCTGGTCATGGGTTAGCAAAGGTGTTTAATATTAAAAATAGCCAAAATAAACAATTAAGAATAAAAATCTATTACAACATCTTATAATTAACTTATAAAGTGTATGTAAAGCAGCTAGTTACTTTCATAATTGAAATTACAACACAGTAAATTTCACAGAAGTTTAAAAAAAGTGTTAATGTGCTTTCATTTTATTTACTACATTAAAAAAAAAAAAAAAAAAAACACAACAGGATTTAAAACAGAAACTCCAAATCTGCTCCCTTGGCTAATTCTCTCAGCATATGCACCCCATTCCCACAAGCAGGCTCATTTCTCTTAAACACCACAGTCAATTTGAAAGGAAGATAAAAAGTAGAGGCACAGATGCTTTTAAAAAGTCATCATCAGTTCAAAGGAATTACAGTTATTTCTGACTACAGCAAACTTTCAGAAGGATACAGAGGCTGTGATACAGCAAAATCAGCGTAAGGATCAATTTGCCATAACTAGCAAGGTAATCTGCCAGACATAAGAGAGCTTATGAAGAAACGCATTACTGCTCATCTTCCAACACAGAACACAGCCTCTCATTTGGTGAAAAGGGATGCATTTAAAATCATCTGCAAAAGCAAGTATTCCTACTTTTTTCCCCTCTAAATGAAAGATATTCTTTTTAACTTACATCTATAAGTATTCATGTGCATCACCAGCAACGAAAAAATGCAAATCATTCCCAAAATATGTTATTTTCACAGATTATGATACATAATGTGACAGACCTATCTAACACACTGCAAAACTGCAAAATGTTTCTACTAGTACCCCTCATTGCCAACGCATCTCACAAGCGTGAAGCCAGTTAGCCTGCTGGGAAAGACAAGCACTGGAAGAAGGGGTTGCAGAAGAAGGAGCTGGGGTAGCTGATGGAACAGGTACTGGCCCCGGGTCTCACACAGAGCCTGACAGTGAATAATATATGACAACAGCAGCAGTATTTGTTAAGTGCTGATAACATTAAGAAGTTTACTTCAACACTGTAATAACCAGTTGATATCCTAAGCTTCTCTGAAAACACTACCTGACAGTTTTTCCTCACACACAACCCCTGAAAGCCAGGCAGTGTATCACAAGACTCTTATCTTTGCGGTAACTGCCAGAGATCTTCAGATTAAAGAGCAGCAACTTGTGCTACCAAAGTCCAGAACTCCTGGCTTGTTCCTCCTGAGAGAGTTTAATCATTGTCTCCGTACTAAATTGAAAGTTACCTGTACTGAGTTTGAAAGAGCTACCTCTACCTTGCCAGGGGAAGCTCACCTTGAACACCCTGAGCCTTCAGATTTTTTTTGTTTCCATGCCTATCTATTGCACTGAAGCCAAGACCCTTAAATTTACAAAGTCTCTTAATTCCTGAGTTAATGGATTATCAGCAGCAAATCAGCAGACTCGCAAACAACCTACACTCTAAATTTTATAGAATAAAAAAATCCCAGGTAAGTTGATATTTGATAGTTTGCATTTGCCTTTTGTCAAAGTTAGCAAGAAAACAGTAAACAGAACATTTTACATACTGTCTTTTCATAAATCCTACACTAGTGATGTATCAACGTATCTCCTATGCCAACACCATACATCATGAATTAAAAAGATGGTTGATAATGATGGTTTTTTCACTACTGACATGTCAAATATTTATTAAGCATTAAACATTTAATCTAAACATGCTATATTTTTCTGCTATCTTTTCCAATCTCCTCATCCAAAGTAACCACAATTATAATTGAGGAAACTATTGTGACTGTTCTTACACTTTTTTAAAGGGAAAATTAAAAATAACAACATAAAATTATCTTGTCAGTAAAACTAACCATTGTCTGTCTGTAACTCAAAGTTTATAAAACAAAATGTGTTTGAAGTTAACATTTAAAATGAAAGCCTAGATATGCCAGAGACTGTCATTGCCTCACTTGTCTTAACATACGTCTAATATTGTAATACTCTTTTTAGCAAAAGCTTGTATTGCCCAGCTCTGCTAATGAGAGGGAAGGCTTGCAGTTTTCAGCTTCATTCATTAAAAGGGTATCTCAACAACACTGAAATATCTACAAACACTGGGAAGCTGCAAATTTGCAAGCGAGCCTCTTCTTAGGTTACTGGTCTAGCCAGATTCAGAAAAAAGATGCCTCAGATAAATGTGAAAAATTTCAAACCCAGTTTTAACAACCAAGAATTCCAACAGTTCAGTTAACATTCACCAAAATCACACTTCTGATAATTAACATTTGACTATAATTGCCAACTAAATTACTAGCATTGATAGCAACAGGAGAGCTTCCAGTGAGAAGCCATTCAGTGGAATGGGCTGGAAAAAGACCTCTTACAGGAAGACTTCAGTCTTTACTGACCTGTGTACAAGCACAGCCACACTCCCCTCACATCCTTGCAAACTCTAACATAGGAAAGAAAACAAATGTTGAGCAGTAAAGATGGGGTGGAAGCAATCAGAGTAGGTAGTACATTTCCCATGGCTTAGAAAGCTGTAAATCAAAATTGCATGCATTTTAAAGAATGGTATACTCTGATTGAAATGCAAACTATTTATTCCAAACAGGACATAGGGTGAAACTGTTTGATGGTATGGCAGAAAGCTCAGGATGATCGATGGTGCTTTAAGGTTTGACAGAAGAAAAGGCAGAAGAAAATTTGCATCATACCCACAAATTGTGCTACACATACAAAGGCCTTCCCTAACTTCTTGTTTTTAAAGCACAACCAAAGGAGACTTTTGTATAGGACACCTGTACGAACACACTCCCCATGCAGGATTTTATTGTTCTGTTTCAAAAAAAATTTTAACCCCCCTACATTTATACTAGCAAGTATTTTAAAGTGTTGAGTGCATGATTTTTGAAGAGATATAGAATTGTTAGCTGCTCCCCTCTATGTATACACTTAGTCGCTGAGTCTCTGATCTGTATTACATCCCCCACATATACTTCCTCATAGACAAGGAGAATGGCAAAAAAAGAAAGAGTCCCTAAAACACATTTGCTCCACGATACTAAAAATATTTTTTAAAGAAATTAAATAGTGGCACAAATTTCACTGGCATAGACTGAACCCACTCCTACCACAGAAACACATAGTCTGAAAAACATCACACTAAGGAAAAATCCCTAAACATACATGAAAGAGTTGGACTTCAAAGTAAGCTGTTACATGTATCAAAAGCAGAGAGGTTTTAGCAATAGCTCCAATTCTCTCAACCTTCTACTTTCAGCTCCTGGTTTCTGTTACTGACATTGTGCTTCTGACCCCCGTCTAGTCTTATACCTAGGAAATAATGGAGATGGGAAGCCAGGGAGGGAATATAGTTCTCACTTGTCAACTACACAGCATACAAAATTCCTTATGAAAAGGTTAAAATCAGCATTCACACTCCAATGTGCAAACATCCAGTTTACAACGGTTGTGAAGCCTTCCCACTTGGCATTTGTGAACTTCTAGATCTGTCCATGTCAATTTTTTTCCCCTTTCCTTTAGCAGAGCATTAAATGAGACCATACTGAAGGAAAACAGATTATTAGCCTGTTGATTTCCAAAATGAAAAGCAAAAGTTCTTCAATTCTGAAGGTAAACTAATATTTTCTTCAAGCAGAGGCAGGATATAATCTGTTGTGAACCTAACCCTTTTTACAAAAAAAAAAAATAATAGGTCCTACAACTTGAAACCTATATAGGCCTTTAAAACTGTCACTTAGCCTCTTATCTCACAGTGTATTCACAGTGAACCAAAAGTCCTCTTTAAATCAAAGCACTTCCAATTCTACAACTGTTAGTCATCGTTTTCATATCATATGCTTTAGAAAAAAATGCAATTGTTACCCTCAAAAAATGAAGGGCTATATGTAGTTTGGTTAAGAATAATGAATAATAATGTTTAGCTCCCCAGTATCAAAATATGCAAGTTCAGAAAATTGTAAACTACTATTACCCTATTACCTGCCAGGTTTCCCTCCTGGTTCTCAGAATTCAGAACTGCTTTTAGGCTAGTTGTGATTACCTATTGATAAAAACCATTCTAACAACCAAAATGCTGCACTCAAAGATAGTAATTGATAAATGTGATGCACTATTAATTCAAAAATACATGGACTACTACAACATGAAACAGTATGCACTGAAGTACAAGGTATCAATTTCTTACATTTTTGTCTTTTAGTGACATCTCCCGAGATCAGTTCTTTTTCTCAGAACTTCTTCGTCTGTCTGTAGTATTTCCAGCATGCTTTCCATGGCAGATCTCTCCTCCTTACCTACCTTTTTATAGGATCATTCATACATTTAGGTTTTTATAGCAGATTCATTCAGCAGCTAATAAATACAAAAAATATTTAATACACTTGGGATGCTCTGGAAAGTACTGACCTGGCACAGCTTTGTATTCTAGTCTGCTTTTGCTTGCAGTAGCATTATTCTCATTTGAGATTCAGGTGGTTCTGTTCCATGCACTGCATGCCAATGTAGTAGGATTCAAGTATTTTGTTTTTATAGGCCCAAACTTGTACACATTGCTGCAAACACCCACTTTTACCTATTGT